AAATAGCCTCTAAAACCAAGTAATAGGATAGACTCCATACAAACAAGGTGAAAGGGAATACCAATCAGTTTCATTCATTTTTCCGTATTATGAAACTAAATGTGGCTTTTATTATAATTAATGAGCACTATGGCAACAATTTAAGATCTATACCCATACAATTTTATAGTCACACATTCACTCTACAATAATTTTTCCCCCTCTTTTATTTTGTTCAAATGATTGCTCTGATGGGGATGAAAAAAGACTATACCACCTGTCTTCCTGATTTAAGACTTACAACCTAAACATAAATATTTATATTTTAGTCTACTTAATACCAATAAGGTACTGGGAGATGTAATGACCAAGGGGGAATACATAAAATGAAAGAGATTAGTCTAAGAACGATTCAAAGCAGGAATTCTAACTGAGGTCTGATGGGTAGACTTAGGACAGTTTGTGAGCTTCCTTAAACTGTACACAATGTTATTTACATTTCTTTATATGTATGTGTATAAATAATTACATACATACACAGACACAAATATTTATCAGAGCCTTCACCAGATTTTCAATGAGGTGCATGACTTGCTAATTTAAGGGTTTCAACAAAAGACCAGATCTCAAAAGAAACCTCATATCAATAGTACTGACAAATGCAAAGTAAATAATTTAGGGATAAACAATCTAACTTACAATTCAAACTGTTCCAGTATGTTAATTATTCAACGTGTTATGGGTAGTAAAAGTAAGTTAGTGCTGAGCATCACCATAAACAAAACAGAAAACTACTTGCCAATATTTAAAATTGTAATTCATCTGTGCTTATAATGCATATACACTTCTAAAGACAACCTCAAAAAGGGTTATGGGAACTGCATGTGATTCACAATGATTTTAGAGAAAAAAAAGTAGGGACCATTCAGATAGTTTAACAATTACTAAGACAGAGTGGGCATCACCTACACAACTAAGAAGATTAAAGCTCTACAAAATCCATAAAAATCAGGAGCGGAATGGTAAAAGTGAATACAGACTTATACACCATATTACAAAATATAAGTGGGAACCCCTTTAGGCTTTAGTGTAGAAATCTGGAAAAAGTAAAAGAGAACAAAAACCCACCACAAATAATAATAAATTTATAGAACCTACCACCCAAGAGTGAGTACTGGAAGGAAAAAAAAATGGAATGCAAAAATTGTTTCAGTAAAAGTTACCTAATTCCCCACCATATAGAGCAGTGGTTCTCAACCTTCCTAATGCCACAGACCTTTAATGTCACGACCCACTGATTGAAAACCACTGATATAGAGTCTTAAGGGGCGGGGAATCTGTGGACTTAAGGGCATAATATGGCCTTCTAGGTCCTTAACTACAGCCTTCTGACTGAATCCAAATTTTACAAACAAATCGTTTTATTGCAGGATGCAACAGAGAAAGATAGAGCTTCTTTCCTTGCCTCCTTTGGTGTTTAAAAAAGAACAATCTTGAATTCAGAAGGCTGCAAGTTCCCCAACCCTGCTAGGAATATGGATATAACTCAAAGAAGTGAATTCCAATAACTGTTTCTACATGTTCATTTCGGTTTTCTCCAGGATTGATAAGCTTCAGAAGTGGCAAACCAAGTCTTCATTCACTGATAGACTACAATGTTGGGTAAGACCAAACATAAAAGTAAGGGATAGCCAACACAAAACCAAACCTGATTATAGTTGAGGTACCTAGAATCTGTAAGGTAGGATGGACTTAGGAAAAGAACATACGGGGAAGAGCAAAGCATTTACACTTCAAACTTTAACTGTTTCATCATCAAAGAATTAAATATCAAAGAATAAGAGAATATCAAGACTTTTGTTTTCTAGCAATGGAAATAAATAAGCTCAACCACTTAGAAATTAAAGCGAAAGGAGAGATTTCTCTACCCTTAGGTTGAAGTAAATTAGTTTATGACGGGTTAAGATGAACTGAATTAATCCTAGAAATAAACTGTAAAAGGTAAGTAGGACTAGAAAACAAAGTGGAACTAAACAAATATAAAACAGGAATACACAACAGAGGGAAAAAAGAAGTGAGATTATAAATAAGAAAAGATGTTCTTATGAGTAGACCACCATAAAAATTGCCTAAGGTAAAAAGAAGTTACCTACTAATCTGTATTCTTACTCTTTGAAATAATATTCAAATAAGTAAGCACAACTCCTTCTTACTGACAATCTCAGAATTACTCAAACATGTAGAAACAATCATTTAGCTTTTAAAATAATTTCAGCTACCACTGACTAATCCACTCAATTATATTGCTTTCACAAAGAGAGACAAGAACAAAGCTTTACAAAAGAATATAACTATTCTATCAGTTTTGATGATTTTTTTTAAGTTGCATTACACTTACCTATCTTGTGTAGACTGAACAGCCCATAAATAACAACAATTACGAGGATCATTCTCAGGTTCTTGAAAAGTAATTGCATATACAGGAACTCTTCCACCTTCCAATTGTGTATAATATCTGAAACCGATAAAAATTAGGACATTTCAGATCTGTAAGTTGTAATTGTATGGAAAAGGAAGAAGGTATCTCATGTAAGAATTTTGGTTAAGCAAATACTATTCATATAACTCCCCAAATTAAGTGATTTGAGGGGCATGGTCAAATCTCCTTATCTTTAAAATTGCACAGAGCACAAGACATCACCAATATGGCCATGGCACCCATCTTCCTGCCTGGTAGAACCAAGAATAGTTCCATATATACATGTAGTGTACATGTATATATGTATGTGTAAACTGGTTCCTAACGAGTTATAACAATTACGTATTGCTCTCCCATGAGTGGTACCTCACAAAGGCACAAAATACTGCCCTAATACTCCATTCCAGTCACTTAGGTTTAGAGTCAATTTCCCCACTGATTAAAGAGAAGATGAGTTGCGAACTGCAGAGTTCCCATAAGCCCCCATAATTAGCCAGAAGAAAACACTGCTGTAGAGACTGGGTTCTTCAGGTTTTTCTTTAGGAGCAATTCAGAGATGAGAGCTAATAAAAGTTTAACAGCAAACAGAGTTATAAAGAACTTCCTATAAAGTAAGATAAATTACTTAAGAGAACATACCAATATACCTAAATAGAAAAGGAAAAATAAATACACAACTTAAGTGCCAAATAGGTAACCTAATTCTTAACAGAAATTAACTAAAAAAAAAAAAAAAAAAAAAGAACACCTCTCTTTGCCACCTTTCTCAGTGTTACAGGCAATTTTCTTCATAGATGAAAAGTATCAATATAATTATAGTGAGACTTTTGACGGCATACAATTTTAAAACATACATATTTTATAACTTTGAATTTTCAAAGTCCTATTTTTCCATCAACTGAGAAATTTATTAAACTGCCACTTTCCATAGATCATTATAGGGAAGAGTCTTTCAGAAAGAACTCATACTACACAAATAGTTACATGCCAAAATGGACAGTGAATCATTTTGAGAAACGCATCATTTGGTGATTCTGTTATCATGTGAACATCACATAGAATATACTTATACAAACCTAGATGGTATACCCTATTTCTTCTAGGCTTCAAAACTATATAGCAAGTCACTATAACTGAATACTGTAGGGAACTGTAACACAATGGTTAAGTATTTGAGTATCTAAATATAAAAAAGGTAATCTATCTTAGGGCTACTAGGGAAGCTAAGACAGAAGATCAGAGGATCATGTGAAGCCCAAAAATTAAAAGCTGCAAGAGGCTAAGACCAAGCTACTGTACTACAGCCTGGGGAACACAGCAAGACCTTGTCTCTTAAAAAAAAAAAAAAAACAAAAAAACAATAATAATCTTATAGGATCACCTTCATATATGTGGTCCCTGACTATATAGGGGTTTATCTTCAGAGTCATGCTTTATTAGCAAAGAAAACACTAAATAAATCACTCAATAAACACCAAAAAAATCAACCTAAATTCACATGTTAAGTCATTCCTTATTATACCAATTTGTTCATACTCAACCAGTCATTCAACCATCAATCTACTCTACTCTTCTTAGTATGCTCATTTTTAAATATCAGCAACTAAATATAGGCCATATTACAAAAGGAAACACCAATAATCAAGTAAGAGAAAAAAGATATACTTACTCTCTTTTCATGCTTTTCATGTTCCAAAGTGCTAGATAGCCATCAGAAAAACCTACAGCAAGCTGGTTTGTCTTGTTTATGTAACTAAGAGTTGAAATGGCTGTTCCTGTCGGACTTACTAACTGGAAACACAGATGGCGTCCTTCTCTCATCACACTTTCTCTGATGTGTGGTACTTCAGCGGGGATACCAATTATAACTTCAAGATCTGAAAACAAAAATTAGACAAATAACATTAAAAAACCATGAATGGAATAAAAGCAAATGTGTCATCCATTATTCATGCCCCAAAGTCAACTGACTCAATTAAAATAAAAGGATTAGCGATAACAAAGCACAGTGAACTAGAAAACAGCCACCCTTATCTACTTAAATGCTATGATTAAAAAATAAATTCTGTAATTTTTAGAAGGTCAATACATCTCAAATATTATATAAGGCAAAATCTTTTTTTAAAGGGTTAAACAATTTCTTTAACAATTACAAATAAAGCTGATTAATTCTTCACTGACATGTAGAAGTACAAGCTAAACACTTCGCTTGGAGGAAGGGCTTATTCCAGGTCTGGGGAAGAAGACAGACATAAGACAGGAGACTGATTCATGTTATGCCAGTAATCTAGGATGCTGTTAAAGGCTACAGGGAATGTGTCAGACAGTATGAAGGGGGTTCTCATTATCAGAGACTGGACATTTTGAGCATCAAAAACAATGAAAATGAATGAAGGACATTAAACATGTTAACCCTCATGGACTCATGACATTCAAACCAGTGAGGGGAGGGGAAGACTCACTCTCCTCATTTATAAAAGGCCTTATATTGAAACATTGGAAGTAATTTGCTATTACCCTCTGACTCTGCAAATGAATATTATTGGTGTACTCAGAGGAGGGAGGGCTGAAGGATGGCTCCTCTATTTATAATACACTCAACAGGAATCTGGGGTTACTGGGATGGGGGGCACAAAACTTATGTCTTCCCTACAAATTCCCTACATGCTCCCAAGAAAAAAAAAATTTTTAATGTATGTGGTGGGTATACAGGTGATTACTGTATAATTCTTTCAATTGTATAGTATGTTTGAAAATTGCCTAATAAAATATTAGAAAAATCTTAAAAAATTAGTATTACTAGTATTTCTTTTAGTAAATATTTATCTTGCCTTTTCTGTATACATTGGATTTCAGGGTAACCAACAGCCCTAGTTAGTGAGAAAGTTCTTCAGACAGAATTTAAAAATCATCATTTTGCCGCCCTTGATGAAATAAGAAGTTCATGTAACTCAACGAATGAAACAATTACAAGTAGGGTTTTTCAATCTTGGCAATACAGTAGCAGTTTTGCTACTCTATTTGCAGTTTTGCTTTCCGGTTTCAGTTACCTGTGGACAAACACAATCCAAAAATATTAAATGAAAAATTCCAGAAATAATTCATGAATTTTAAAGTGCACAGTGTGCCTAGTAACATAATAAAATCTCCCACCATCTATGGAAAACGAATCACCCCTTTGTTCAGTGGTATGTATATTACACATGCTACTGCCCTTAGTCATTTATTTGGTGGCCATATAAGTTATCGGGCTGACTATTACAGTGTTGCGGTGCTTGTGTTCAACCAACCCTTATTTGATTTAATAATGGCCCCAAAGCACAAGGGTAGTGATGCTGAAAATTTGGATATGCCAACAAAAAGCCGTAAAGTCCTTCCTTTGAAATGAAAACGTGAAGCCAGGTGTGGTGGCTCACAGAAGCTCAGGAGTTCAAGACTGGCCTGAGCAAGAGTGAAACCTGTCTCTACTAAAAACAGAAAAACTGGCTCGGCGCCTATAGCTCAACCGGCTAAGGCGGCAGCCACGTACACCTAAGGTGGCAGGTTCGAATCCCCAGCCCGGGCCCGCCAAACAACAATGCCGGCTGCAACCAAAAAAAATAGCCGG